TTTCCTTCACTTTTTATTTCAAAACAAAAATATCCAAACTTCAGATTTTGAGTAAGAACAATATACCAATCATATCTCAAATCAATCTAATTTATAGATTTATCAATGTTAAACATCGTCGAAATCGTTTCTATTACAGTTTAATATTTATACAACTCGATTTTATATTCAAATTTTTATTCTTAAACAAATTTTTTCTATAATAAACATATTTACTTACGGTCAACCAAAAGTTGTGATCACCGTGTTTAAAGGATCTTGTCAGATAAGGTTATCTATTCATAAAGGAATAATCAAATATACCATCTTATAGACCTTTTTACGGCACATAGAATAATATATAGGAAATCATCTTTTTATAAGACTTTCAACAAACTAAACTCAATTTACTGATAGATGACTACACACAAAAACTTACACTCACACCCGACCATCATTGGTTACTCAATATTGGGCTCCTTTATATTAGTCGAAAGTATTTGGAAAATATTTTCTTCTCACATACGATTTTCTAGAGTTTTTGACGGACTACAATCTGATATAAGTAGCATCTTCGGTCATCTTGTCGGTGTGGGTGTGTGAGCGTAGTTGTCTATCAATAAATTGAGTCTAGTTCGTTGAAATTCTTACGAAAAGAGGATTTCCTATATACGATTCAACGCGCTGGAAAAAGCTCTATAAGATGTTATATTTGCTTTTTCCTTTTGTGAATAAATAATCTTATCCGAGAAGATCCTTTAAACATCGTGATCAGAACTTTTGGTAAACTCTAAGTAATATAGTTTGGTTTGTTTTTGTTCGAATCAATGATTATTAAATAGTCTTAAAATTGATTGTTTAACATAATTGATTTATTTCTATGTAATTTGTTTGTTTCTCTATTATCTATAAGTTGAGTCACTTTTTCCTGAGCGAACATTTTAAAATATGAGATATATTTGACAAATTTGTCAACATTTATTTAATTAAATATTTTATTCAATAATTATAATTGAATATATTATTTCATTAACAATCAACTCTAAAACAAAAGATTGTTAAAATAGAAAAATTCAATCGATATACAGGGTGGCCCAAAAGTCACGCACCCGAAAACAAATTGAATATCTCCATAACGGCTCTAGCAAACTGGCTGATTTTTTTACCACTAGTAAACGCATATTTACACTCCATATCCATAAAGACAAGGCGAGAGTGAACCCTTTTTTTAAGTGTCACTATTGACTTTAACCAAAAAATTTTAATTTTTCACAGGTGGAAAAAAAACAATGTAATGGGTGGCGCAAAAGTCACTTTACCGAAAAAAAGTTGAATATCTCCATTACGGCTCCAGCAAACTAGCTGATTTTTTTATCAATTCTAGAGGTATGTTCAAGATTTATATCCATAAAGACATGCCTAAAGAGATCCTTTGTTAAGTATATTGGTTTTTTTCATCTGTAAAAAAAAGTAAAATTTTTTTGTTTCGATTAATAGTGATACTTAACAAAGGACTTCTCTAGGCATGTCTTTATGGATATAAAGCTTGAACATGCCTCTAGCATTGATAAAAAAATCAGCTAGTTTGCTCTAGCCATAATAGAGATATTCAATTTTTTTTCGGGTGCGTGACTTTTGGGCCACCCTGTATAATTAACTGATTATTTATTATTCAAGATATTTTAACTTATTTTATGATTGAATCATTATCTATCAACTTGGATGACCATTCTATAAAATATAGATCATTCAATTGTTAATACCAAGGGACATAATCATCGACCATAAACCATAAACCTAAATCAATAAGATAGTGGATGGAGAATTCATCTACCAAATTTAATCAGTAAATATTCGTCTCAATGAAATTTTATGTCGAAATAGAGAAGTGAAGAGAACATGCATCAACACCAATGGATAAAATATATGCGCAATTAATCGTATGATAGATTAATAAATATATATGCCTATCTATAGATATAAGGAGAAAACAACTCTATAGATAAGAATATCAACAAAATCTAACTACTATTATATCAAGGATACATTGATAGATAACATTCTATCATTATCTTAAATGCATTATTTGTCTCCATCATAGTTAGATTAGCATAGGAACTAGTTATATATATAACAGTCGATTTTATTTACGAATATTTAATTTATATTAAATAGAAAAAGAATGTAGAATTTTAAAAAAAATAATATTCATTCAATATATCAATAGGCTTGTTATAATTGACATTTCTATGAACTAATTCTTTTCTCACGAGTGGATTTAGTGAATAGTTATTTTTATATAAGACTGATTATTGACCATCTGATTTTTTCATATCTCTAAATTTTTGACAACTCAATTTCAGCATACTTGTACAGTTGAGCTATTTGGATTGGAAGAAATAATATTATATCTCAATAAAAGTGAGATTATTCTCGTTGAGAGTTAATCATATTCCACCTTTTCTTACCATCATATCCACAACTACTCATATTTATTTTTCGAATTTGATACTAAAATCTCATACTTTTTTTATTTCGAGGCTAATACTGTTTTTCAATTTTTCAAATATATATTATAAAGTTTTATCTTAGATCTACTTAGTTATCTATTTTAGAAATATAACATTTTTAGTAGGATACTTTTATTATGAAGAGATATGTTTTTGTTTGAATAACATAGAAAAGATTCATAAAAATCTTCTAGTAACGTATCCGAAGAGCTAGAATAGGCGCAGTTCACTCACCACTGAAAAGAAAAAGTTAATAGTTATCTTGAAATTTTTTCTTTTTTTTTCTTTCCTATTTCATACCTCTAGAAATTCAGTTAACGATTGACACCAGAAAATAAACTTGTGAAACATCGATGGTTAACTAACATCTCTTGTTTGGATATTCTGCCTCTCTCTATGCAGCTGACTCTATTAACAATATTTCAAAAACTAAAAGCCGCTAGTTTGGAAATCGATCAAAATTCTAAGAAGTCAAAATGTAGGACTATGCAATCTTTTTTTCAGTTTATAAGCTGCGAACAAAACAGATATCAAAGATATTATTGATGATTATAAAAAGATAATTGATCCTTCTCCAAATTAGCATAAGAACAGTCAAATGCTGTTTAAATAGTTAGTTTTTGTTTTCTTTGTTTTTTAATATAAAGTCAGTTAATAAACGAGTAAATAAATTATTCTATATTATCTCTTTAAAAGATAGAAAATTGAGAACCTTGATTTGACTTCAGGAAAAAATTTCAAACATTGTCTAGAGATTTTTAACTCTTCCCGATCGACTACGAGAAGTCAAATAGGAAAAAATATCTTTCTGTCTATTCATTATTCCCCTATCATAAGAATTGGAAAAGTCTATTTATCGGAAGAAAAAATTGCTTCGCTAACAAATGACGATATGTTACTATGTGGCAATATCCAGACACTATCGATAAAAATTTTTCAAAAATTTATTCTTGTTTTCGACTATTAAAGTGTAAAATTTTGTGGTTTTTGTCATTTATTCATAATGACAATGCAAGACAAGAAAATATTCAAATATATATAGAAGATGTTTCGGTTCCTCGGAGATTTACATCGACTTTTTTCTGATACAATTTAAAGATAATACTCTTTTACCCTTGATAAAGTTGTGTAGAAATAAATAATTGGTTTTCATTCGTCTGATTAGATAAGTACAGGAGAACAATCTTAAAAGTCGATTTTATTGAAAGCTAGTCTGGTGATATGACTCTTTTATTCTAACCTTATCCTTTCTCAAATTTGCAAATCCCTTCAAACGATGAGTTCTAAAGATCTAGTTCTGAAAATTATTTTATATAGACAACTTTTTATTATCTACCGAACAATCAAATCGAAATATTGAAAGAACGTTCACGAAGAATAAAATAAACAGATTTCAAGGCTAGTTTTTGATTAAATTTACTTTTGAGCCTACTCTGTTGTATTTAGCACTATGGGTCGAATGAAAACCAAATATCAATTTCTGCACAACTTGATCAGGGCTATAAAAAAAACAAGTATAGTTAAATATTGATAGCAAGATAGCCGATGTAAATCTGGAAGAAGCTGTGTGGAAGTCTCTATATCCTGATTGGTATATAGAAGGCGTCTTCTCATCAATCGAGATAGATGTATTCCTCTCCAAGTGATTGATATATCTTTATGAGAAGATGGGATAGTACATGACTTTGACCATTGAGAAGAAAACCCGAGTTTAAAAACTTTTGTTCTTTTACGATGAGATGTTGTCAAATGACAACATCCCTATTTATTATTGTCCAACTTTACAGAATAATTCTTCTTAGTAGTGCAACATAAAATAGATCTACGAAGAAAAATTTATCATTAATTGCCTCTGACATTGAAATATCCATAAGTACTGTAAAAATTTTTACGATTTTGATGTTTCTTTTGGGTATTGCAAGTGGATTCAAACATCTTTTCAATAAAAGATTTTTATCTTATGAATGCATGAATGTATGTTGAAATGTACTAAAGTAATTATCGATTTGTCAAAAAACAAAATATGATCACTAGAAGTCAATCCTTCATAGCCACGATATCTTTGATACACAACTATGTAGAGAGCTGGAAGACGTTTTAATTTGTAGAGAATTGTTTTGGTCTATCATTTTGAATAATTTCGTAGGGTAACTGATGTAGTCTGAATATGATTGTAGCATATATCTTAATCTATTGAATCTGTAAAAGTTTTTATATATAACTAAAATCGATACGAAATATTTTGAGCGATCTTAAAAGTTCAGTTAGGTAGATTTATTTTATCAATAAAAATTCCTTTTCATTAACTATTTTGTATATTCATTTTTCTAAAGAGATTATTTTTAAAAAAAGTAATACTTCAACAGTTTGTGAATATTGATTGCAAGAATTTATCATTTAGATTTATTGTTTTTTTATAAAAAGTTTCATGTTCTAGATTAATTTTTAATAGAGACGAATTTATTTCATGAAAATTAATTTAATAAATAGAATTAATTGATTATTACTTAATTATGTAGATTTAAATTTTTTGGAAGATTTTGATTTTATCTCAAGATCATCTTCATTTGTTGTTATTTGTTGAGTATTAGATAAATTTGACTTGTTAGAAGGACAAGTGATTATTTTTATTTTGTTATTCTGAATGGTTAAACTTATATTCGATAATGAATCAATATTTGACGTCAATATAAATGAATTAAAAAGTAATGTCCATACTTGATCACATGATCTATATGACAAAAGATGACCTTTGAAGGAAAGACAACCTTCTTTTTTTCCTTTTATTGATTGACAAGTCAATTTTTTATTGATTATTTCATCAAATACATTAAGAATATAATGAACAATACGAGAAGAAAGTATCTGACGATGAACAAGTTCGTGAAGAGTATCGTCAAGAGCCAAACCAATAGTTGTTGAACGATAAATTTGATAAGCTGATGACATCAATAACTCTTTCAAATAATCAACTAGATTACTTAAATACGCGCCATTAAAAACTATGATCAATTTCAATTTAATTATCAATCAGAAGAACAATACTTCAATTCCAATATTCATCTTTTTCTTAATTTAATTCAAATAGATTGACAATGCACTCTCTTATTTACATCGATTATAATAAACTGCATATAGAAATACTAGTTGAATGCTGAAGTAATTTGTTAAATTAATGAGAAGTTTATCTTGTATTTACTGTCGTATAATAGAGACAGCAAATTGATTTATGTATTAATCTGATGAGTGCATCTGTATAATCGACACGCAATACAAGAAAAAAGAATTCATATAAATTGTCATTGTGTAAAACCTTTGGAAGAAACCATAATTTTTCTTTTTTCAACATATCGTTGTCGTTTCTCGCGATGTTTTGAAGATAGGTAAGTATAACTGCATATTAACTCTAGTACTGCTAATCCTTTTGTTTTTAGCACTTAACTGGTACTAAACAGTTTCCTTACGTGATTATTATAGTTTTGCATCAATGTTTTAACTTAAATATGATAATATTCATATTCAATTTGATGAAAAAATTATCAAAATAATTCGTGAGAAATGCCACTTGATTTTTAAAATCAGGAAGTAACAAAATATTTTTTACTGTATTTTCAAATTTTTAAGTATAAGTCAAAAATGACCCGCTTGACAGTACTAGGGTTAAATTTGTGTATAAATAGAAGACTTTGTCGTCAATGTATAATTTAATATAGAGAAACTTTGCAATAAGTAAGCATTTTAAGTTTCGGATCACGGCTCTCATTCGGATGAGACAATTCTATTTAATCACATGGATCAAATTTTTGTTTTAATATTCCATGGGATGCGATGGAACAAAAATTCTTGTCCTGTGAGGTTTCCTTCTTCTATTTTTGCTCATCAACAAATGGATGTCTCCTGCCTGATGCAATATGAACCTCCTGTTGTGTACTTTCTTATTGTATATTTTCATATAAAAACTTTAACTATTTTTATAATTGTTAAAATTTTTGAATACTTTTCCATAATAGTTGTTAATTATTTGGATAAAATACCATAGTCATATAGAATCTTTATTGTCTTCACTTCAAATTTATTTTCAATAAATATATTTTTATCAGTTTTGATTTAAAGAAAACCAATGGATGGATAAAATATTCTGACGGATTCTATTGAATATTAACAATTGCAGAATTCATCAGAGTCCACAACGATCTGAAGAAATCTACCGAATAGCATCAGAGTATAAAAGGATCTACAATGACCCTTAGGCATTAGAGAAAACTGAGTAAACTTATTAAAAGTTAACAATTCACTAATGGAAAATGCACTGAAAAAGTTGTATTATTATTTTTTAATACTTACGAGGGAACTACCCGAGCTGTTAAAAACCTTTTCGGTCGGGGATGTGATGGTTAGATAGAGCACAGTTAGGAGTGATATACCCTGAGTTAGTTCGTCCCCAAGTTGCTTCTAGCAGAAGTTATGAATTTTTCAACTTATGAGCAAAATGTGCGTTTTTGTCTCCAAATCTTACGAGGAAAGTACCCAAACTGATTAACCGTTTTTGAGTTCGAACTTTGTGCATA